ATAATTCCAAGTTGGGATTTGCTTAAAAAGTATGATGCAAAAATGGTGCATATACATTTTAAGTAAATCCAACACAGTGCAGGCCATGTGAGATCAAAACAAATCTTAGTTCTGTTAACCTAACATTTAAGCCCATTTGTATATAAAAATAAGACAATTAAATGAGTTGAACCAACCATTTTAACTTATTTTAGATCTTCAGCTATTGGTCTGCTTACTGCACTGCTCCAGTACATTCAATGTCTTAAAATAAATTAAACATGCAAATCACACACAATAAAGCATTTAACTTTATTATTTTGTATTTTTTGCCAAAGGCTTGAAAGCCTGAAACCATACATAAAATGTAACAAAATGTGGCAAATCGACAAATGGAAAATCACTTTTAACAGGTCACTTTTTCACCTTTGCAACACTCAAAAGATATACATTTTTCCAATATTTACTTTTGGAACATACGAAAAACCTCTTAAAGGACAATTCCGGTGAAAAATGAACCTAGGGGTAATTAACACATGGTTACCAAGTTGATCGTTCTCTGGGATGCGTTTTCATGATAATTGAATGTACGTAGAGTTTTATTTCTAAAAACTGTTTAGCTTATAACGCTAGTATATGGGGCATAGAATAAGCAAAAGTAGTTAATACCACTAACAAGGCTCAAATAGCCCCACACTAACACGGTAGCATAATGAGGGTCCCTACATGCAAACCGAAGCATTGAGAACTTTATAAGTGTACAGACAGTTTAATAAGAAGATACTTTATAAAGACAGTACATTACACGTATACAGGCAGGAGCCATCTTGGAAAACAGTCTCGACCAGTCGAGCCACGAACGCCGTGCTAAGTGAGATGAACTGTGACTTGGAATCTCATAATATGGTCCGTTGTTTCCGGAAGAAACTATTTTAATAAACCGATATAATTCATGCATTTCCATGTAATTAGTTTCACAAACGTAATTCCTATCGACCAGCTCACTTAGCACAGCGTTTGTGACTCATCACCTATGCCTTCCAGCGTTACCCCAGTCTGTAAAGGATCATCTGCTGAGCCACCTTTCGTGATGATCCTCAATGTGAGATGTTCCAGTTCCTCTTCGTTCCTATGAGTATAAAAAAAAAACATAAAAAAAAACAGGAAATCTGCATTTACTTGCAACATCACTTGTTATTGTTCAGACTGTTGCAAAAAATCAATTGCATTGAAACACAGAATGAGAAAGAAATGTACCTTTATATTTTAAAATAAAATAAATCTCTTACAGCCTCTTACATTTGCAACATTATAAATGTCTATACTGTCACGTTTTTATCAATTTAATGCATACTTGCTGGATAAAAGTATTAATTTATTTTATTTCTTAAAAAAAAAAAAGAAGTTTTAATTGACCCAAAATTTTAAATTGCATCTTAAAATATATTCAAATAGAAAACAGTTGTTTTAAATTGTAAAAATAAATAAAAAATAATAATAATAATAATCACAATATTACAGTTTTTGCTGTATTTTGGATCAAATAAATGAAGGCTTGGTGGGCAGAAGAGACTTCTTTTAAAAACATTAAACAATCTTACTGGTTGAGTGTGTGTGTATATACATATACATATACATATATATATATATATATATATATATATTATTTTTTATATATATATATTTATATATATACACATTTTTTTCTGGTTATCAAAAATATATCTAAAAAGAAAAAAACAATAATTAAATGTTACAAATTAGTCCATTATTAAATGCCTATAAATATAAAAATGAGTCTATTAAATAATATCTATTAATTTAAACAAAACAAGTTAATTAATGAAGACTTTTGTCCAGAGGTTTTGAACGAATCTCTTCAAAACATTTTAACAGTCAGTCACTACTGGAATAGCCAAACAGTAAATAAAGATCTACAATCTTTGTTTGAAGCCAAACTTTTGCTTAAAGGGTATTTATTTTGATAATCATTTTGAAGGTTTAATAGACAGGGTTGTAGCTGTCATTTAGGAATAATATTGTGTTCGAATCAAGATCGCCATTATTTAGCCTAATGATAAATCGTGCACACGGAGCTGTAGCCAATGTGTTTTCGAATTTAATATTTGTATGTTAACGAACGTTATCAGTAGGCTCACCCGCGCCCAAGGCCTGGCCGGTCCCCTTTCCCGCGATCCATTTAATATTAGAGAATATATGGGAATTTGTAAATATGCAAAGTACATTTTTTTAAATCCGAAAACTCATAGCCTGCATATAATAAATGACAACTAGGCTACATTTCGTTAATAAAGTAGGCCTACGAATTTATCCGTGGGGGAAAGCGCCGTCCGAATTGTCCTCGGTGTGTTCAAACCGAACGCGAATAGAGCGTCAAATACGCGTCTAGTTAGACGCTTGAATCTGCTCGAGTTCAAATTTTTCAACTTGCATGCGTGGAAGACGTTCGCGGCAAACCTGTCACCCAATTCGCGTCATTCGCGACGCCCGGCGCGAATGATGCGTCTATTCGTGTCTTTGCATTGACTTTGTAATCTACTCGCGCAAATTATTAAATTCGCGTTCGGTGTGAACACACCATTAATGCATACATGCCAACGTCATGGTCATATTTCGAAAAACACAATAAATAGCCTACTCTGACTACTATAAACACTTGACACTTGATAGCCTATTCGATGGAAGCACACTTGCTTAATAATTCAAAAATACTCTAGTGCAAAGTCACTCATTTCATACATTAACTTGTAGGCTACATAGGTGTTCGTAACACGTTTCTAATTGTTGATGCAAAATTCGTAGCAATTCTGAAATTCAGTTTAAAAGTTAGTTTCTTGACCAAAAATGCAATAAACGATTGAGTGTATTAAGTTAAAAAAAGTTAAGCTTACCTCTTTTCAGCGTCTTCACATATGTGCTTCACAAAATGGCTCCAATTTTTGGCTGGAAAGGCATCACGGGAAATTGCATATCACGTGGCTCGTATAGTTACTTAAAATGTTATGCTCGATTTACTTAATTTTGAAGCAATTATTATAGTAGTTGACATGACTAATGTTTTTTCATTTTATTTATGCATACATTTAAGTTCACCTAGTTACTTATATTTTTGTGTTACACACACTAAATATGTTAAGTAGAGGTTGAAAAGTTATGAATACTTAATTTTTTGTGTTTAATCTAATTACTTTTGTAAGTAATGGTTGTTCAGCCAATGAATCGTTTTTTAGAGTGTGAGAGAGCGTGCGTTCACAGACACCAGAATGAACGCGTTCAGGCACAACACTGATTGTATGTTAGATAAACTTTTATCTGTCAGAAAAATAACCAGCACTGGTCATTTGCTGATTTTAAGACATTCAGGTCTTGTTTTTATTTGTGGAAAGTGCCTAAATGCATGATGTTCAGCAAAGGACGTCAGCTGCTTTCCAGCTAACAGAACCTGTTCTAAGAACATTTAGTTAAAATTCACAGTAAGTTATGAAAAGGTTATTTCTGAATGTTCTCTGAATGCTCAAAACTTTTTTTTTCTTGGTTATGCAAATCTTATCATTCTTCAAACATTATGAGAACGTTACTTTTGAAATGTTTTCTGAACATTAGTAACATGTAAATCATGTGGAGGAACATCCAACTAAAACATTTCAGAAAATGAATGATGCATAACGTTTTTATGCTAACGTTTAGAGAACATTATTAAAGACCAGAGAACTTTAAACAAACATTCTATTAACGTTACTGGAAGAATGTTTGTTCATAACTTTTTCAAATACAAAAACAAACATCCGACAAGACACAAACGAGGCAACAGTGAGACAAAAAAAACACAACAAAAGAGAAAGAAAAAAAAGAAAAGAAAAAGGGAGATACAATGTAAGACAGTTAGAAAATTAACTTTATCAAATCAAGTCATGTGCTACTATATTTATATATTTCCAGATTTTATTAAATAATTCCCCCCTGCTTCTCATTGAATATGTGATCTTCTCTAAGCGTACACAGCTGCAAATCTCCAACAACCACAATCCAATCGGCACATCAGTGTCTGCTTCCCATTTCAAAGCAATACATTTCGTAGCTATTATTAACAACATTTCAGTAAGCTTAAAGGTGCAGTGTGTAGATTTTAGCGGCATCTAGCGGTTCAGTTGCGAGTTGGGCTAAGGGCTTCGCCCACTGCTCACCCCTCCCTTTCGAAGAAGCTACGGTGGCTAAAACGGGATAAACATCGTCGTCTGAGACAGCAGAGAATAGCCAGAGTAAGCCAAGAGTGTACGTCACTGTTTCTGTACCACAGTCCATTATAAACCACATCATAGATAAAGTTTACAAAGCCATAGTCAGGTGAGGATCAGGGGTCTTAATATATAATATAATAATAGTAATCAGCTGATTGTCTCACGAACGTAACCAGCACATTTCAGCGAACCCATAATACAGCGAGGGAGAAGAAGAAGAACCACATGAAACTATGCAACTATATATTTTTTCTAACAGGGTAGTGAAAGTTTAGCTGGCTAATATGAGCTGTTACTGTGGCTGAGCTGGTTAAAGCGTAAAGCCTTGTTTAAACTCGACGCGTCCGCATGAGCGCAAAGGTGCGCGCGGCAAAAATGACATGATTGTAACAGCGCGCGCCTCCGCATCCCCTAGACACCATTTACTACACACAATAGGCTTTTTTCTCTGATTTTGAAAACTCTTCGCGATCGACTTAAAATGCTTCCAAGATGGACTTGTCGACCGCGATCGACGGGTTGGTGACTCCTGTAACGTTACGGTTTTACGGTCAATGACAAGAGTACTAATCAGCCGTCTCACGAACGTAACCAGCACATTTATCCCAACATAGCAAAGCCATAACACAGCGAGGGAGAAGAACTAAGTTACATGAAACAATCCAACTACATATTTTACAACAAGTAAACACGTTTGTTCATAACTTTGAGAAGAACCTTGTCTGAATGCTCTGATAACGTTCCCTGTTCATCATTAAGCAGGTAAAAGCTCTGACAGGGACGACGGTGAATCGAGTGGACAGGAGACAGATGACGAATCCGCCCCTCACACATTCGCACGTCAGCTTGTGTATCCCGGCAGTAACGTCGTCAAACGCTTTCCTGTGCCTGAGGAGAAGGTGCCCTGGGAGGTGCCTGATATGAATTATACACATATTTTATAACATTAAACAGCATTTTGTTATATTGTTTATCTTATCCCACACATTTTTTACTCTTTTAGGTAAACTTCAGTCTGTACAATCCCCCAGTTTACAATCCACAGGACAGCAGCGAGTAAGTTTTATACTGAAAGATAGAGTGGCACCATTAATCGAATTGATCTACGATATAGTCGTGTGCAATTATCATGCATTATTAAATATACCGTAGTTGAAAGTGAAAGGGAACACTCTGTTCTAATGATGCATTCAAGTCTTGCCGGAAATACCCACATAAACATCACCACAAAGTTATAATTATGAGTGGGAGACTTGAGATTTTCTTTAATCCCAAAGTTTCCGAGTGTCAGTGAGAAAACATGTTGGACGTAATAGATGCAGCGTCTGTATTAATGGTAAATTTGTTAAAATTAATGAAAACTTTCCTTTTTTCATCTAAGTTGCATGTACAAAACACCATATTATTGTACAATTGTGATAGAATATACAGTAGTCAACATTTGAAGTGGATCAAAAAAGTTAATCAAAGTTGTCCTAAGACAAGAACGGGTATTGTTCAAAACTCATGTATAACTTTGATGAAAGGTTTTGATCCACTTCAAATGTTGTCTACTGTATAATGATTCAATTTATAGCATTTAAATTGAATAAAAACAAAAAATCGCCATCTTGCTTTGACTTAAGTGATTGGAACGCACCTGACGTCGTATGACTTCCCAACTCGTAAATACGAACTTCTCAAGAGGACTTGAACACACCATAAAGTTTTGCTTTTAAGAATTATCTCCAGCCAATTTAAACAGTAAGTTAAACAGGGTTCCCACGGGTCCTTGAAATCATTGAAAGTTTGTGAATCTGAAAAACAAAATCCAAGGCCCTGGAAAGTTTTTGAAAATAGATACACAGGTCCTTGAAAGTGCTTGAATTTATTTTGTGCAAGAGCTTTTCCGGTCCGCTAATGCAGTGGTTTCCAACCTTTTTTTGTCTTAGACCCCCTTTTTCCCAAGAAAATATTTTTAATGATATTATCGCTCTTGTAAGCTTGCAGCAAGGATGACAAAATATGTTGTTTTTAAACAAACGGTATGTTTATAACCAGATATGTTTATGCGCATAGCCTATAATATTGAAAATACAATGACAAAAACATCAGTACGCCCTTTGTAATTTAAAAACGTAAGCCTAGGAGAAGCCTATATATCGGCCCTATTTGAAATCCCAAAACAAAAATATTCACACTGGTGTGTAGGTAAAAAAAAAAAAAGAATATAGGCTATTACTAAATGACTGTTGTCTCAATACTTGCATGTTATTTGTGAGGCTTTATCAATGTGAGGCTATATTTTTTACGCTTTTGACGCTATAGCGAGCGATAATAAACTCAGGGTTTCCGCGGGGTCTAAAAAAGTCTAAAATTTCAAAATCACAATTTAAGGCCTTAAAAAGTCTTAAATTTGCTGAAGTATTGTGTTCTAGGTCTTAAATAATTTTAAACAGGTCTTAATTTTCCTACGTCCTCCCGCAGCGCTTTGGAAAGTTTGTTTTTTTATTGCGTGGTGTTATAGTTCCTTATTTCGCTAGTCCAAATATAATTCACTTTAATTACGACTACAAAATAGACCAACATGCAACAGCCAATCAGCTTTGTGCATCCATCTAAGCTGTCTTCAGTACTGTTCAGTTTGAATAAATTTATTTACTTTGCAAGTAATTTTGAGACTCTGCGTTTCCTTTGTACGTTTTTTTTACGTCGTGATATAGGTCTTAAATTTAATTCATAATGGTCTTAAAAAGTCTTAAATTTGACTTTGTGAAACCTGCAGAAACCCTGAAACTTGCGTTTATTAACAGAATAATGCGTCTTTCGGAAGAACATTGTAGCCGGAACTACTTCTCTCTGTGTACGTCTATGACGAGTCACGCAGGCACTGGGCTACTCCGCAGCACCAGCGATCCGAACCAGTGGAAAATAGTCCCAATGTAAACACTTATTATAGGTGTACCATAGTGGTTCAGGATAAGACAAAAACACGGATTGGAAAATGGATTCATGATGAACTCGCTCATTATACACATTTTGAACGGAAAAAATTTAAGGACTTTTATTTAATGCTCATTGCTCAAAATATGACGCGACCCCCCACAGAGCTCGCTGAGGCCCCCTTGTGGGCCTCGACCCCCTTGTTGGGAACCGATGCGCTAATGTGTTATTTCGCCAACACTTCGGGACACTTGATTACTAACTTGCTTGATTTACGTCAGTTACTCGCATTTACGCGTTACGTTAAGTGTTTGCCGCGTGAGGTGCTTTGTGTACGTTGCCATGACGTTCAAGCGCGCACGAAACTACTACGATGGTACCTCAACTTTTCACAGACACACCGTGAAACATTGCAAAAATAGGCTGAAACCACTGAAACGTGATGCCTGGAAAATGAAAGTTTCAAGATATTTGGAACATTTTATAATGTATTCGATCTACACTATGTTGTCCCCACATTAAGTCCTTGAATTTGAGGGTATTGGACCTGGAAAGTCCTTGAAAGGTCCTTGAATTTGAAGTTAACCGAGGTGTGGGAACCCTGGTTAAATAGAAATGACAGTAATAGTCCTTGGGCCAAGACCCAAAATTTCACGTATTGGTACCATCTGGGTGGGCAAATTCTAGTTGTGATTTTTTACATCCTATGCATCCCTAGATAATGTTTTGACATGATAACCCTTGCCAACTGGCAGCTTAGTAGTGGTTATGACCGCTTGAAGTGACTGACCCCTGTAAGCGGAAAAAATGGCAAAAGTACCTTCCATGTAAATAATCTAGTTCATCCAGTTGATAATTCATCAAGTGGTTCATTCATCACAAATAAAGTAGGTTCCAAATTAGTGAAATAATGAGATAAAGGCAATCATTCCAAAATAAATGGCTAAAAATTGCTAAATTTGGGAGTTTTAGCATGTCAAACCGTAATACCCCAATATCATGAAATAGTCTAGGCAACTAGGTGAACCCGGAAATGTTGAGTACACCAAAGTTTTATTGCAGAAATGTGAAGTATGGGTCCCCAGCATACAGAAACTGCCAGATGCTAATTAATTTGCATATGTTGAGCAATTAGCATGATTAGCATTATTAGCTTAATTGTCCATTTTCACCAGATATTTTGCACTGTATGGTCAATTTCTACAATATGTGAGTGGTTTTAGAGGATGCTGATTTCATTTCTGGCATTTTCAGATTTCAAAGAGATAATTTTATGACATATTTTGATTTATTTAGGCAGATTATGATTACTTTCAGGCATAATTTTCGGTTATTTTTATGGTAAACAAAATAGTTTTACATTTCACAATCATGAGTGCTATTGTGAATGTTGATGCATTGTTTTCCGGGTGTAGTGAGGCTGAATCCCATCCTGACACTTTAAAAAATTAAAAATTGCTTTTTGGATAAACGATTAATCTTTGTTAGGCTGAATGTCATGCATTTCTGGAGGAAAAATCAATGCGGGTATTTAACATAACTTGGATCATGAAACTGTACGATACATATTAATGGGGTAGGTCTTTAAGACACCCATTGAGATGACATCACCTAAACCCATCACCATGTGTGATCAACGAACTATGTACAAATATACACTATATACATCCCATACAAGAATGCAAGTCGCTAGGGCAACGCCCGAATGGCTGCCAAGGTTGGTCCGCAAGGCACAATATCCAACGAGGACCCAGTTAAAACTCTGTAGGACGCAAGAGTTAAAACTGAGTCTGGGCAGCCCGGGTCAGCCCGCCAGACGCAAGGCTAAGCAAGAGGGCCTCACCTCCGTACCCCATACCTGTCAACACTCCCGTTTTTCCCGGGTTTCTCCCGTTTTTTAGCCCTATCTCCCGGACCCCTCCCGGTTTGTTATTTCTCCCGGGAAACTCCCGTAATTTGCATGGCCCAAACTCCTTTATGATTAATCGGACCAATATGTTTGTCTAATGTTGACCAGTTGCCAGATTGTATTAAATGCATTATATTCACACAATCCACAGACCATTTACAATTTCAACCCGTTTGTCACCTCATCCTGGGAACCTATAACCCAGTTGCGCAGTCGCGGAAAGTTTAACCCGAAAGCGAGCCGATAGACATGATGGCAGTTGAAGGTGGTGTCCCCGCAATGAAACTGAAGTAGCACAGTTTGTAACGCGTTGCTTCAGGAAGATTAGGGATAGCTCACAACTGAAGTTATTGCATGCAGAGGCCAGACAGACACACGGAGGCGATTGGCATCTCACACTCGCACTTTATTCCCAAATCGAACTCGTGTAGCCTAACTGTCTGTCACACGTTCTACCGTCCACATCGTTACTTAATAAACAAAATAAGATCAAAATTAGCATCAAACAAAAATTACCCGCATACATGGGGTGTTCGCATAGACAATAAAAGGGGTGTTCGAGGCCCAGGCACATACAATACAATACAACAATACAATACTGCCGACAGTTCAACAGGGAGCGCACAGCTCTTAAAGGGGCCACACCTTATTTCCAGTCGTTACCAACCCCCCCCCCCCCCCCCCTCCCCCCCCCCCCCCCCCGGAGAAATCTCCCGGATTTTGAAAACCAAATGTTGACAGGTATGCCGTACCCCAACAAAGCACACACTGGCTCCCACCTTCAGGCAAACTGCTATGCCTCACAATTAATGAACAAAAGGCAGCCTCATCATATTCACTGTTCGTCTGTTCTGTCATCATCTTCTCCAGACCCTTCATACCTCTCTTTGTGTTCTTGGTGTTGTGTAAGTATGTTGCAGCATATACCATCATTGCCTTTGCAGGAACAATAACTGGTACAGGCCAGACCTGCAGCTGCACAGCTGCACTTTGATGATGTGCAAGGTTTCAACCTGGCTTTGCAACCAAAACTGACAACAGCTAAAAAAGCAGGAGGAGGAACATGACTTGAATCCTGGGAGGGCATAATCAGTTCCTCTCTTTCCTTTAGGCCCATCTTCTTGTTCCATCCAAACAAGGTGATATCCACAGCAGGTGGATCAGGCTGGTCTGCAGCTTTCCATAGCAGCACCTGTAGGCTGGCACGTCTTCCATGAAGGCGCATATTGCGCTCTGTAGCAGTTAGTGTCTTCATTGCTGGGGGACTGTTCCGCTTCCGGTAAATTTCATACCGGGTTGCATCCAAGGTTACAGAGTTCCTCTGATTGTACAGAGCCAGAAAGAAAGCCCTTGTTGCTTTTGTGATCTGTAAATCTGTGGCTTCTGCCTCTCTAATACAGTGGAGAAGCTTACAAAGTACGACTCTCATGGCCTTGAATGCAGACACCTTCCCCTTCCCGACAGGATATGAGGTGGTATCAACCCGAAAGAGCATGCATGGCCAGAATGGAACCACATTGGTCACCCAGATGGATTATTTTCTTTAATCTTCTTTAAGCGAAACGGAGCAACTGTGTCTAAAGTACTAGAAAAAAGAGAGTTAAAAGTTTCTGTCGCAATATCAAGTTCTTCTAAGCTATCCGGGATGCTGAAATGATGGAACTGATTAGGAAGATTATTAATAAAGCAATATTTAGTGGCAGAAGTGATAGTTCTAACATATTTGTAACAAGGAGTCGGCTTTGCAGCCTTGGCTAAATGATGTTTACACGAGACTAGATAGTGATCTGAGATGTCATCGCTCTGCTGCAGAATTTCAACGGCATCAATATCTATTCCATGTGATAATATTAGATCTAGAGTATGATTACGACAATGAGTAGGTCCTGACACGTGTTGTCTAACTCCAATTGAGTTAAGAATATATTTAAATGCCAATCCCAATGCATCTTTTTTGTTATCTACATGTATATTAAAATCACCAACAATTACGATTTTATCTGCAGCCAGTACTAACTCTGATAGAAAGTCAGCAAATTCTTTGATAAAGTCTGTATGGTGCCCTGGTGGCCTGTATACAGTAGCCAGCACAAATTCAAACGTGATTTATCATTTACACTCGATGTTGTTACATTAAGCACCAACACTTCAAAATAATTATATTTGAAACTAGACTTCTTAGTAATTTTGAAAGTATTACTATAAATTACAGCAACACCTCCCCCTTTGCCTTTCAGACGAGGTTCATGTTTATAACAGCACTCATTTAAAGTAATGTAATTGTTTGGTTTTAGCCAGGTTTCTATCAAACACAGCACATTTAGGTTATAGTCTGTAATCATATCATTAACAATAAGTGCTTTTGAAGTAAGGGATCGAATATTCAGCAACCCAAGCTTTATCATTTGCTCAATTGTATTATATCTGTTTTTTATTTGTTAAACATCAATTAAATTTTTACCCTTAGATGGGTTTGGAAGTTTTTTGTATTTCCTAATTCGGGGAACAGACACAGTCTCTATATGATGATATCTAGGTGAAAGAGGCTCTATGTGATGGGATTTATCTGACCTTGGTGATGCGAGACAACTGGCAGATGGTTGGTTTAGCCAGTCTGTCTGCTTCCTGACCTGAGCCCCAGATTGTCATGTTTGAGCTCTAAGACTATGAGCCATATTAGAGAGAAGAGCAGAACCAGCCCAGGAGGGATGGATACCATCTCTTTTCAACAGGTCAGGCTTGCCCCAAAAACTTTTCCAATTTTCTATGAACTCTATATTATTCTGCGGACACCACTTCGACAGCCAACCATTGAGTGAAGCCAATCTGCTAACTATCTCATCACTCCTGCTTACAGGAAGAGGGCCAGAGCAAATTACAGTGCCTGACATCGTACTTGCGAGTTCACACACCTCTTTAATATTAATTTTGGTGGAGTCGAACATCATTAGTGCCGACGTGAATAAAAATCTTTGATAATTTACGATTAGCATTAGCCAGCACTTTTAAATTTGCTTTGATGTCAGGTGCTCTGGCTCCCGGCAAACATATGACTATGGTGGCTGGTGTCTCTATTTTCACGTTCCGTGTAATAGATGTCCTTGTACACATCAAAGACAACATCTATACGCTGGCTCTTCCCCCCTTCGTGCAGCTCGTTGTCCAGAGCTGAGACAGCCAACTGCGCAAAGGAATTGTCTTGGCCCTTCAGTTTCTGTAACAGGCTCATTCCATCAATGGCGGTTGTTGATGGCTCTGGGATTTCCTCAGCTGGGGACACGCTCTTCTCCAACTCTCTGGCCAAAACTGCCTTGTTGGTCTTGCGTAGAGACCCATCCTTGTTAGCTAGGACCCAAGGCAGAGGTCCCAGAGGATGAGCCAAGACATCACTCATGTGTAGTTGTCGGCTCTGTGCCACCAAGATCCTGTGACCAAAGAAGTTTCTGTCAGCCTTCAAGACTACCTGATTTGCTTGCTCCTGGCTGCGTTGCTTTTTCTTGATCTCTGAGAACGTTTTCAGTTTTTTCTTGGTCATCGTGTCGTAGAAAAGTAGCACTCTTGTTTCCAGATATTCTGTCTTGAAATTTTGGTAAACCTCTTCTCCAATCTTCTTGGCCTCAAGTAGTTAATTTGCCACATCAGGTGGAATGTGATTGCGTCATCAAGTTTTGATCAGCATTGATTAGTCAAAGAAACCCATGCGGTTTGTTCCTCTGAGCCAAACATGAATGATTGTTGATGCTTAGTCCCACCCCCGCATGCCCAGATTGGTTGAAACTACACATATATATATATATATATATATATATATATATATATATATATATATAAATTCACTTTTGCTTCAGTGTTCTATGACAATGTTTATATTTATTTTACTTTTACTTTATATTTATTTTACTTTATTTTGTTTATTGTACTTTTTTTTGGACACATCTAAAAATAAAAAACACCAGCTTTTCACTGAAAATCGCCTATAATAATGTTATAATAAATGGCTATAACTTGCTTAGGCATTGTTACATGTAGTCAAAATTTCATCTGGAAATCTAGAATATCCAAGTACCACTTTCTAAAGGAAAAAATCCAAACTTCAGAAGGATTTGTTTGAGTTGAGTAAAAAAATTCAATAAAAATCTGCTGCCGTTTTTTCTTAAATCTGGTATATTCATCCATTCTAAGACAAAATAAATGAAAATTGGTCATTTAAATTAGCTAGATTGAGACTTCAAGTTCTCCTGTTTAAAATGATATATGGCACTTGATGCTGACTGCTATAATGGGTTAGAAAAACTTTAAGGGTCTTTAAGGGTTAATATCTACCTGAAATTCAACGTTTCTTATTTTCTTGTGTTACAAAGCTGTTACCTAATAAATTCCACATGAACCTGAAAACAAAACTTATTGAAATATATTATGCAAAAATTAAGAACAAATCGTACGTACATTGTATGACTTTCCAATGGTAGACAGAGTCGACAATACATGTTATTTTTCTTTTCTTTTATATTTTTTACAACTCAAAACAACAAAATATCAGTGTGAATTCAAAGATATCGACTTTATTATCCCTGTTAATATTTACAAATATTTTAGTTTGCTTGGTATTAATATTAGATCACTGTAATTATGGTATTGGGCGTTTGTGTATTTTTCAAAAATAATTCTAATTCATAAAAGTAGGAAAATGCAATTCTAAAAAAAAAAGTATAAAAAGCTGGGACTGTGGAAAGGTTATCATATTAAAAATAACTTATATTAACCCCATAAACAATTTAGTACAGGTAAGGTTTTGCCCACCCAGATGGTACCAATATCTGTTCTGGCCCATGGACTATAAGATGACTTTACTGAATTGCAAGTTTTGTTAGAGCTGAAGACTTATTATAAATCTCGAAATGCTTTTTATTTTGTATTCCTGACAGTCTTGTTGATATTGTGAAGCTTTTTGTAAATAAAAACACTTTTTTTTCTGTACAGCTCAGACACTTCAGTCTTAGACAAGTACAGGTATGCTGAGCAAAAAATATTTCATCAGTGCTTTTATTCTCCTACTGGAATTTGCATTTAACTGCATTTGATTGAGTCTCATTGTCATGAATGGATTTTACAGGAATCCAGAAGGAAGGACTGGGATACGGGGAAAAGGGGCTCTGAAATCCCTCGGCCCGAATCACATTCTCCACCCAATCTTCACCAGGTACACAACACTGGAGTTAAAATCCAATTCAAGTCCACTTCCTCCTGGATTTAAAATCTAATCTCATATCAGATGAAATTGAAGTTTACAACCGAATACACCAAAAACAACAGAGATTAGAGATCACATTCATCTCACGTCCTGCTGTTAGTGTATTAAACATAAAGAAATGATTGAGCTGCCTGTTTTAAAGGTGGCGTGATGCTGAACACCAAGTGCTGGAGTTTCTCTCCGTTTCCGAGGATGTAGAGAAGCCTGTGACTCTTCCTGGGGTGAGAATGAATGCTTAAAATAAAATCTGTACAGTGACATTTTCAGAATCTTAATATGATACAGAGAATCGTTGCATTTGCTTTATTATGCAGTCATAACAATCATATTTGCTATATTGTAATTTTGGAACCAAGAGTTGACATGCACAAACAAGCTTTCTAGATATATGTATATTAAGTGTTTTTTTTTTTTTTTATTCTTGCAGGGCCCAGCCAAACCTGACGAGCCTCTTCCACAGACACTGGAGAGGATTCTGGGTAAAAAGTTAAATGACAAGACCAAGTCTGAACTAAAGGCTGGGGAACAGGTGAGCAAGATAAATCAACAAGATGCTCAACTTTACTGATTAAAAGACAGACTTGTTTACAGACATCAGGAGCATAGATTTGAACTGCGTCGGGTTTCATATGTTATCTATCTTGGAAAAGGCGCTATATAAATTAAACTTATTATTACTATTATTATTATTATCTATGGGTTCGTTAGCTAGTCGTGTTGCATGGGAAAAATACAGCATGCAGCGAGTAAATCATTATAGAACTTTGATTTTTGGACTATTCACTAAATTAACTAAATTAACCATTAACAAAATTGTATTGATTTATTTATCTATATATGCATGTTCAGATATTCATACAACAAAATATGAAAGTTTTGTGAAAATTATCAAAAATGCTGGTGCTGGCTGGCTACTTAAAAAAAAAAACACAGGCCAGGAGAGAGTAAAAAAAAAACATTGCCTGTAATGCTCATGGTGTTTGACAAACAGAAAAATTGTAAAAAACAGAAAAAAGTTACTATGTTATAATTTAATAGTAGACTCACACAAAGGTAATGTTTTGAGCATGCAGGGACAGTTAATACTCATGTTACTTTTTATCCATGTTTGAAATACCAGTTCCACCAGTTGATTGTTTTGAGTTAATGTTCCACAAAGCGAAACAGATGTGTGTGTTTCTTCTCTAACGCAGGTGTATAGTGGTTATGTAGATGACAGCAGGAACACTGATAATGCCTGGGTGGAGGCCACCATCATCACACTTCACTGTGACAAACACACTCCGCTGATGGATGAGCTGAACCGCATAGTGAGTAGAAAATAGCACTTCATCTCAGTGATCTTAACAAAAATAAAATACAGCAAAGTGACAAATACAAGTAAAAATGGTCAAAGTCAACTTAAAGTAAATATCCTCAGGTGGGCTGTAAACCATGATGTGGTTTTAATCAGACCCCGATGTGTGTATATAAATATATATATATATATATATATATATTAGGGCTGTCAGTTAAACGCGTTATTAACGGCGTTAACGCAATCCCATTTTAACGGCGTTAATTTTTTTATCGCGCGATTAACAGTCTTTTTGGCCTAGCAAACTTTGTTGTTTTTTTCACATGCTTTTGCAACAGGACGCGGCGCTGCGCTATGAAACCCGTTCATTTCAATGGCTTGCGCCGCGCGAGGACGTTTTCTTGCTTCGTCGACCAAAGCGCAAGCGGATCTAGCTAGACCGGAAACAAAACAACAGGCACGACGCCGCACACACTTGTTTGGGCTTGCGAGACGGCCAAATAGTAGGTTAACGTTACGTTTTGAGTGGATGACGAGCGCGAGACGCCGAAATGGATGCCAATAAGATTCTGAATGGAAAGTTTACTTTAAAAAGTTGCCAAATGGTTCCATTGACGAGACCAAAGTGATCTGTGATCTATCATCATCGCAGCACGTCCAGTCTGAAATACCACTTGATGGCCAAGCACACGCACACACACACACACACACACACACACACACACACACAGCTGATGCGAATTCTCCGCCCCCTCGTCAATATCAGAACCTCGTCAGTATTTCTTTCACCCTTTTATTGATGGACAGTGTTACATTGTGTGAGAGATTATTTGCTCCGAGTGTGAATGTTAGTGTGAAACTGAACACAGTATATGCCAATGTTGTTTTCAATAAAAAACATTTGCACAAAGCAAGCCGATCCACTTTTCCATGTTGATAAGAGCATTAAAATGAGAAAAAATAATGGGACAAAAAGAAATCAAGAGACATTTAGAATAGATAAAAATGTGCGATTAATCGCGAGTTAACTATGACATTAATCGCGATGAAATATTTTAATCTTTGACAGCACTAATATATATATATATATATATATATGGCTTAAAATATGCATGGGGGTAATTAAATGTAACACATCATGTAAAAATGTTGCATCAACATTTTATCAAACTTTGATAATTGCCCTAATCTTGTAAACAAATGAGAAGATAGTGATCAAACTAAATTTGATAAAAATCACCTGTCAAGTTCCTGAATATGCTTATGAGAGTCAAATTGGATAGGGACTCATCTCAAGATCACTCATTTAACAGTTTAACAGTCAAAAAAAAAAGAAAAGATCAGTCAATTATAGAAAATTATTGCAAATAGTCAAATGCGTAAATCGTGTATAAAAAATGTCCATCAAAATATAACGTACAACTTCGTGTTTCAATCAGGAACCAACACATGTTGAACAATGTTCATTATTAACCCGGCGAGGCTTTTTAACTGGAGTGGCGTTTGTTGTATTTTTTCAGAATATTTTGTACAATTTCAGCGAGTGAAGAACAAATTTATACTTGCGTTATGTGTTCGGTACGTTATCGTCTCTGACAGACATATGTTCAACAACAGTATGTTGAAGCCGCTCAGTTCCACATTTTCTCGCTCTTCTCGGAAAGCGATGACGTAGTTGAAACTTCAAGGGATAGTTCACACAAAAATGAAAACTCTGTCAGTAATTACTCGCCCTCATGTTGTTCCCCGTAAGACTTTCGTTCATCTTCAGAACACAAATTAAGATATTTTTGATTAAATCTGAGAGCTGGATCACTCCTCCATAGGCTTCTAAGGGATTGAAACTTGCCGGCCCAGAAAAGTTATTAAAGGGGTCATATAATGGTACATGCACTTTTTCAAGTTGATTGTACTGAAATGTGTGTTGGCAGTGTCTGTACACAACCATCATATAATGATAAAAATCCATCCAGTGTTTTTGTTTTAATCTCCTTATATGTTTTCCCCTGCCTCAAATCAAGCCGCTCGACCTTGTGACGTCACACGCTCGGAAGCCCCTCCCACGATTGTTGATTGACAGCATCGTTTCAACACAGACCCGCCCTCGCTCGTGAGCCAGCTGTCAATCATAGTCTGTGCGGCGCGGACCGGCGCGGTCATTGTTGATATGCTGGAGCACTGTCTATGAGCAGAATGGCGTCTAAGCGATTGTGGTGTTCTGTTCTTGGGTGTAATAACGAACACAGTCATTTTAATGTTCCTAAATCCGAACCGCTGAAGACGCAGTGGCTGAGTTTGTTTTCGAAGGGAATATTCCCCACGAGCAACGTCAATGCTCTCATGTTTGCGCGAATCATTTCTCACCAGACTGCTTTATAAACGAGGATCAGTATAAAGCTGGATTTGCTAAGAAGCTGCTCATAAAAAAAGGATCGGTACCAGATATTCATGTTCCTGCTGAACCTCTAGAAGAACTGAAGTGAGTGTAACGTTTTATTAACCTTTATATTAATATTTATATCTTTGCAAATCGCTAGCTGCACGCTTCACAATGAATGCGTCTAAGGTTTACACTCAGGGTACATTACGGCATGTTTTCTATGTATGATATTCTCAATATAATTCATAATCCCACGTTTATACTGAACAACGCGTTATGGTTATTGTGTTATTGAGTTACAAACGGTGTACGCACAGAACAGAGAGGCGGGGTGAGCAAAGCTCATTATCATTTAAAGTCATATGCACTGAAACGGCGTGCTGAAAACAGAGCTGTTTTTGACCAGGTAAAATAAGTGTTTTCTTACAATACTAATGAGAATTTGTAATTAAAGACTTTAAGTATATTACAAACTTTTAATTTAGACCCTAAAGAATCATACTAGCTTGTACAAAAATGGCATTATATGACCCCTTTAAAGACATCGTTAAAATAGTCCGAGTGACTACAGTGGCTCAACCTTAAGTTTATCAAGCGACGAGAATACTTTTTGTCGCATAGCTGTCAACAGAACAGACCTCAACTGCACGCACGCTGGAAGAAGTAGTAAAATAATGAGTGTTGCTTCTTTTACTTGGTCCTCCATGAGTGCGACCAAAGGAGAAACCACACCGACCACAGGGCTTTCATTGCGTCCCGTCTTCTTAGCGACCATCGGAGCCAGCTGATAAATTAAACTTAGGAAGGACGGCAAACACATCTTTCCGAATCGACAAATGCCTTGATTGCAGTTCTTTGTTCGTCTTTTAAAATGAATGCGCTGTCGATTTCTTTTACAACAGACGCGATAGCGGGATCTCTACATCTCAGTTCTCCAGCTGCAGTCATCTCTGAGGGAAACCAGTTCAACCCAAGCGCTCTCTGATAACGTGATGATTACGTAACTGCAGATCATCTGTCCATCATCGTATAAAGCCTGCCCAAGCAATTTGATTGGCCCGACTAATTCCGAACCGATCATAATTACTCCTCAATGGATCGAGTCCAGACCGAACTTCCCGACCAAAAAATGTTGTGGGCGGGGTTCGGGCTGGCATCCAGGCTACTTTTTGTGTGCAAAATAAACAAAAATAACGACTTTATTCAACTCTTCATTTTCTTCTCTGTGGGCCTCGAGTGAGTTCACGTAGTGTAACAGCGCAGCGCTTCTGGGTTTTACGTCACACGTAGGCTCACTATTGGCCGACGCTGGTCATGTGTGTGATGCTGGCCAATAGTGAGCCTACATTCTGACGCACATCACAGAAGCGTTGCGCTGTTACACTACGTGAACTAACCCTTTCAGGTACTGTGTGTTTTTCAGGAAGTGTGTGAACTTACTTGACTTCTGCTACTACTAAATACTGTGTATTGCGTGCGTTATTTCCTGACAGACATTGATGTTGTGATATTCAAATGATTTGGATTTGAAAACAGATGGATCGTGAGGTTATAATTGTTTATTTCTTAGCCGGCAAGTATTCAGTGAAGCGATTGATGCCCATGAGTTTGTGTTGATGTTTTTAACAGCCAGCCTAAGTTTTAATGTGCATGATAACATGCATGATGGGTGAACTTTGTTTGATTTTTTGGGTAATTTAAAAACGTGCTGGAGACGTTCTAAATAAAGATTATTTCGTGGCTTCAATAAATTACATGTGACTGACATGAGACATGTCAAATATGTTACATTCAGCTGTTGCAAATTCGTTGACTTTTAAAAATGTATTTCTTTTTTCCCCAGGAAAGAAAGGTTTTTGAGGCAAAAAGTTGTTTTTATTGTCTCTTATCACAAAAACCTTTTCTTGATTTTAAAATCCCCCTGTAGTCAATAATTTTATCCCTTAAAACGATTTCAAATCGTGTTTTTGAGACTGTCTTTCGTTCTCTGCAGTTTTAAGGAGAAAATACTCAGCAACGCTGTCGACTTATGAATTTACACATGGTTTGTCTTAAAGCATATTAAAAACACCACATAGACATATAAACTACATTAAAAACTGGATTTTCCCCATAGAAGGACTTTAAACCCATAAAAATGCGGATCCTGTTGTAAATAATAGTGAAAAATCACTTTTTAAAACTGTTTTCTCATTATTACCCCTTTGCAGATTTTGACTGTAACTAAGAAAACAAATGCTTTGCATGAATTGTGGGATTTCCCAGTTTAAAGTGCAGACACTGAATAAATGTTAGGAGCTCATAATACTCTGAGGAGGGTGATTCTGATAGACATAAAACATCATAAGCACATTCAGTTTTATGTTCAGTGCAGTCACAGCGCTCTATAAGTGGTGTTTATTCGTGCATTAGTGGCAGTATTTCAGCTCTCGTTGGGTTTACCGAGCGATTCAAGCTGTCTTTGTTTTTGCTTCAGGTTGAGAGCTCGGCATCGTCTCATCAGCCGCTCAAGTGGCGGGAAGTGAACAGCACCGCGTGTGTGTGTCCATTCCAGCAAGAGGCTCTACGTGATGTAGCAAAGCTTCACAAAATGTAGTTTTGACCCTCAGGAAAACACACACAGTCTGGTTTGCTATCTATCTCACACACACACACTAACCGACCCCTAAACCTACCCAACACACACACACACACACACACTAACCAACCCCTAAACCTACCCATCACACACACACACACACACTAACCGACCCCTAAACCTACCCAACACACAAACATGTCTTACTATCTTTGTGGGGACTCTCCATAGACGTAATGATTTTATACTGTACAAACTGTATATTCTGTCCCTTTACACTAACCCTACCCCTAAACCTACCCATCACAGGAAACATTCTGCTCTTTTACATTTTCTAAAAAACATCATTAAGTATGTTTATTAATCAATTTGACTTGTGGGGACCATTGGCTAGTCCTCACAATGTAGGTGATTTCACGTTTTACTATTCTTTTGGGGACATTTGGTCCTCTCAATATATAAGAAAAACAAGAGCACACACTAACCGACCCCTAAACCTACCCAACACACACACACACACACACACACACACACACTAACCGACCCCTAAACCTACCCAACACACACACACACACACACACACACACACACACTAACCGACCCCTAAACCTACCCAACACACACACACACACACACACACACTAACCGACCCCTAAACCTACCCAACACACACACATACACACACACACACACACTAACCGACCCCTAAACCTACCCAACACACACACACACACACACACACACACACTAACCGACCCCTAAACCTACCCAACACACACACACACACACACACACTAACCGACCCCTAAACCTACCCAACACACACACACACACACACACACACACACACACACTAACCGACCCCTAAACCTACCCAACACACACACACACACACACACACACACACACACACACACACTAACCGACCCCTAAACCTGCCCATCACACACACACACACTAACCGACCCCTAAACCTACCCAATACACACACACACACACACACACACACACACACACACTAACCGACCCCTAAACCTGCCCAACACACACACACACACACACACTAACCGACCCCTAAACCTACCCATCACACACACACACACACACACACACACACACACTAACCGACCCCTAAACCTGCCCATCACACACACACACACACACTAACCAACCCCTAAACCTGCCCATCACACACACACACACACACTAACCGACCCCTAAACCTGCCCAACACACACACACACATATACATATACACACACTAACCAACCCCTAAACCTACCCATCACACACACACACACACTAACCGACCCCTAAACCTACCCATCACACACACACACACACTAACCGACCCCTAAACCTACCCATCACACACAACTTTTTTACATTTTCAAAAAAACTAATTCTGTATGATTTATAAGCTTGTGTACCTTTAGGCCCACAGTGACACGAGTCCTCATGAGTGTGTGTGCATTCAGGTTTAAGTCCCCACCGGGATAGAAAAACATGTACACACACACACACACACACACACACACACTCTCTCTCTCTCTCTCTCTCTCTCTCTCTCTCTCTCATACACACACACACACACACGCACACACACACACAGACACACACACACTCTCTCTCTCTCTCTCTCTCTCTCTCTCTCTCTCTCTCTCTCTCTCTCTCTCTCTCTCTCTCATACACACACACACACTCTCTCTCTCTCTCTCTCTCTCTCTCTCTCTCTCTCACACACACACACACACACACATTGTTTTCAAACTGTTTTTTTTCTTTGGATCGCTCAAACAGACTGCATTTCCATTTGATGCCTTTAATTGTGCCTTTACCAAAGAACTCCAGATAATTTGCTCACATTCATGCAGATTTCTGTAAAATCCGTAAGCCATACAGTTAGTTTCACACATATTAATGTGTTTTACAATGCATTGTTGTATTTATTAGTAATTTTGGACATATGTTTTAGTTTTTGGGTCAATATGAATTTAAATGTGGTTGTTGAGCATTTTAGAATATTAATGCAGGTACCAAAAATCAGGTTTTTCGTTTGTACAGATATATGCATGAACACATATACTTTATGCAAGCAATAGTGCAATACTTCACTACTGTTCATGAGTGAAGTGGAGGACTTTTATTTTGCGTTGGTTGTTCATTATCCAACTTATTACACAGCTATTTTAATAATAATACTCACATTAAATATTTAAGCAACTAACTGAAAAGAAAGAGTGGCACAAAGAATTAAATCAATGGATGTGTAAAAAAAATTTAATGAATAATCTGTACATATTTGAGTGCTTCATGTGGCAAATCGATACATGTACAGTTCAGTGCTGACCAGGCGTAATGATCGGATAGGGGATTAGGCAGCATTGCATTGTGGGATGTCAGCAGGAAGACAAGTTTGATTACATTGTTTCACATAAAACATTCACCCGCATTTTCAAGTTATGCAATTATGAAATGCCTTAAATACTAGAAAAAAATGCATTGTACAATTATGCAATTATGAAATGCCTTAAATATTAGAAAAGAATGCAGAAAAGCAAAGCAAACAATGAAGCGTCTTCATTATAATTTTTAAGTTAGTGTGACTCAGGTTTGTGACATAAATATCTGCACTGTTTAAACTATTAAGACAGGACAACTGAAAAACAAACTGATGATGAATGATGAATAAAGTACATATTGGCATATGCAACAATACACTTGTGTGACTTTACAGTATTTTCCTGGCTACTTTGCAGTATTTGTTTCTTTGTTTGTTTGTTTATGTGTAGTTCGTACAGATTTGTTATACAATCGTCTGCTTAATGCATAAATGTAATGAATTAAATTACAATGATTTTCTGTGACGCAACATTTTATTACAGCTTCCAAAACAAGACAACAACAACATGAAAATTAGAATAGGACCTTACCTTTGTTCATCCTGGCCCGGTTTTCATTCGTGAAAATTAAATGTGCTATAATTAATATATGTAGTAAGTTACGTTCTTTATTTATTTATTTTTCGTTTTTATTTGATTTCTTTTTCCCAAAACCCCGCCCCTAAAAGGCTTGTAAGAGTCAGAACAAGATGATTGACAGACAGAGGCTTCCTCCTCGGATGCTTTTATTTCTCACACAAGACATATGAGTGGTTTGTGTCAGGTAGCAGCGACATTTTATGTGTTGTACTACAGCACATTTAAGAATATTTGCATGTTTCTCAAGCAGGAACATCTGCAAATGTGTGTGGTGGGGTCTGCAGTCGATCTAGGGACAGTTTCGCTTTGCCTGTTTTTTTGTATTTATTTTTTTGCAGAATTTATACATAACTACCAGCTCAGGAAAGTTAAGCAAGGTGTACAAACAAACAATGGTAACAGAAAATAAATATCCTGGGTTTGCATACATCAAATTATGTAATTATACACAAAACAGAAAGAAAAGCATAATAATAAGGTCAAGTCATATCTTTGAATAAATCATCATAATTCATCAAAAAATTAACTTTTTTGTTATTTATAAGTCTAAGGGACGAAATAAGAGTTAAATTCAGCAAGAAAAAGAGGAAATCTCAAAGCCATTTTTGCTTGTAAAGATTTTTGCATGCAAGATAAAGAAATTAACAATATATTCAAGGGACAGCAACTTTGGATTTTCATAATAAAAGATAACCTCTTTGAGAATGAAGGTGTGGGTCACATAGGGCTAAAAACAAAAGAACTTAATTCAGCCCAAAATCTATTGGTTACATTAGTCACAAAATAAACGGGGTTCTGTTTCTTCAACAAAACCACAGAAAGAGCAAGTTACTCTTATGAAGGATTTTATAATGAATTTGTTGGATACACAACATTTACTAGGCAAAAGCCAGGCCTTTTTCCAATTTAAGTTTGTTACAAGGGATCCCCAATAGAATTGATCCCTTGGAGTAATCTTTCTCTTTATTTGAAAAATTGTTGCTGCATTTTCGATCTAAAAAACCAATACCGCCCAAGGTTTCGCTTTGCATGTGATGATCGCGCGCTGATTGGTGGACGCGCCGCGCGCGAGGCTCGCGCTCATAGCAGTATCGGTTCCACGCCCTTCAGCGTTGAAAGAGCCCGCGCGCTGCTTTCACTTCAAGTAAACATCCTGTGTTAAAATTCCCTGAAAACTGTAAACATACATACCTAAACCATAAACGATTACGCCAATACCCAATGCACGCACTACATAGGCTACAAAACAATATACACGAGCGGTGTCGTTTCGCTAAAGAATCATTCATTGGAGTCGGATCTTTTCAATGAATTTGTTGAACTAGCTGACAAAACCGGTCCGAACGATTCTTTAAATAATCTATAGTGCCTTGCTTAACGCTTTGATGTTTTTTTACTGTTTAATGAAAAAAAAATCTTGAAAAAAAAAGAAGATTATTTCATGAACGAGACTGAATCGGGTCATTATGGTTTCACGTGTACGATTCGTAATAGATTAACTTGAGGATTTTGTCATGGAACGAAAAGTATTCTTTACATTAACAACTAGCAAAAATAATTACAAGTGATAAACTTTGCTGCGTAATGCCTTTCAGTTATATCAACACTGAGTTGGTTTTAATAAACAGGATTTTATAGTAACAAGCAAAACTAAAAATCAGCTGAGATGACTTTTTATTTTACGTAAATACATTATATTTAGGTTCTAAATATCGTGATGAATCATAGCTGCAATAACACTGATACACCTTACAACAACAACAACAACAAACAGCAATATGTGTCTACATTGCTTTTGGAACGCAGGGATAGCGTGGTGACGTAAAAGAATCACTGAATCGGTTCTTTGAAACCAACTGTTCGAAAGAACCTGTTCGCTCAAATGAATCAGACTTCCCATCCATAATAAACACACACGGTGCACAATACAAACTAAGCACACACTGTGCACAATACAAACTAAGCGAAGTGTGTAATGGTGTATGTGGAAAATATAACTGTAGTGAGCACAATGTTTAGAGTGGATTAAGTCAAACAGTAATAAATTAAGAATTAGTGAGTAAAACGAGTAAAGGCAAGAATGCGCTATAAAAAAAAAAAATTCCGTACATTTACACAGAACATTTGTGACTGAACATTCAACATCATCGGCTCGAGGACGTGACTCTATGAATGGGAACGCGTGTTGTGATCTATTTTTATCCCATCGCTGGTGCAGGTGCACAGGAAGTGACGTGTGCGCTCACGAGACTCGCGTTAAACCATCGGGATTAGATCCGAGGACAGTCGAGCGGAGAGCAGCCGAGTTAAACGGTAGGATTTCAGTCCTTCCTTTTATATATCGCCTGTGTTTGTTTCCCGATCGCTCATAATTGCTTGTGGAATGAACGCTGGCATATTTTGCGCGTTTAATCGGTTTGTTTATGTGTGTGTGATAGAGAGAGAGACGAGTGTGGGTGATCATCGCTGCGCCTGATGTGATGTAGAGAAATCCACACAGTTGTTTTACAAACACCAGTTCTTGTTTTAACATGTTTTAAATCGCAATATAATTTTAAACGGCTTCGAAATACATTTATACAAAACAATACGGAGTTGTTTCAACCAATTTTTGGGTCAAATGTGGACAAAACCAACCGTTGTCTTCAATTCTTAACCGTTGCTTTACATGTTTAAATTAACATTTTAAACCCAACGGTAAGGTTGGTCCATATTTGACCCAAACATGAGTTGAAACAGTATTTTTTGTTTGTTTTTTAGAGAGAAATTTAATGTCCCTGGCTAAAGAGCTATTGGCCAAATGCATCGCTGTCTATCGTGTGTTTATATATATATATATGTGTGTGTGTGTGTGTGTATACTCCATCTGCAGCTCTGACGTCTACATGGGCCACTGAACACAGAGGACACTAGTTAGATGCAGCCTGTTTGTTTCTCTGCCAAGAATGTGACTTGTCCCGCAGCCTCGATGTGCAGATGCACCGGCTGGAACAAAGCTTTCACATCACACACTGACCAGCCTGATTGTTGTTGGAGGATATAAACAAATCTTCCCATTCTAGTCTGCTTAAACAAGGCTGGCAGAGCTAGATGAATTGACGAAATCTGTTTGCAATAGCTGTTTTGTTTTTGTATACTGTGTTGTTAAGTGTAAATGTATAGTAGAGACTCACAAGGGTTTTATTTTAGTATTTTACAAACGTTTTGTGAGTTGGTTTCTATTTCATCCGCTTTGTAAGCCTTATAAAAGGTTATTTAATGGTAGGTTCCTATTGTGACAACTTGCCCCGCTCTTCCCTGCTTGGTTGCATATCCAGAGAAGTCTGATAGACTCAGAACAGTATGAAACAAATGTAGTCGGCAGTTATTTTGACATCCGGTACCAAAGTTTACAGCCTGTAATATAATTAAAGAAGCTGATGTGTTGCTGAAACAAGCTTTGCTTTAGATTCTGTTCGTTTATTTAACCTCGTAAAACCTGACATTAAATAATAGTCAGATAAATCGTTTTTTTTCTTCTTTCTTCCAGTTTATCGACCCTTTAGACAAAATATACAAAAGTTTGCATATGTGTTTTGTATCACAGATGATGCATCAGGTGTTTATGGCTCATATTGTAAATCAATGAGATCTTTATAACAGTATAGCAGATGCTCACATAAAATGCATATAAATATAAGATGTCACTCTATATCTCCAATAATATCTTAAGATGATATTTAATGCTTAGTTTTATGATCAAAGATCTGAATAGTTTCAAAGCATATAATGCAATCCGATACAATGATTGAGAGATGAACAAATAAACTTTTCTCAAAAGCTGATGGATCATAGGCTATTTGATACTCACATTTTAACATGATTTTTCTAAACAATTACAGTATGTATGGATAATCAAGCAAAATCATAACATATTTGAACACATTTTAACATGATTTTTCTAAATAATTATGTATGGATACTCAAGGAAACTTAAATTGCTTCAGTCCAGTAAGTGTCTTGAAATATTACTGACAATATAAATGTTAACTTTATAAAACACAGTGAACCACGAGCTGAAGATGAACTTTTAAAAGGGCTTTTATTTGAGGAAAAATAACTCAGTCAGACGACAGAAGGCATGTAGTAGATTGTGTGAAACAGGTTTTTCAGCAACGTTTTGATCATAAGAGCCCTTAGAAATGCATGCATCAATAGTAGTTTTATAGGGTTATGGTTGCATTTGGTAATGCAGTTATGCAAGTGTTGAATTCTCAGCGTTGCCATAAGCGGTGATTATAGATATGAAATACGATACTCTATAGGTTTTCTCTTATTCGAGTAACCTACTGTCATGGTGGAGTAATAGTTAGAAGAGAATCAGTCAAGTCAGCTTGTTTATTGCAAGCCATTTGAATTATAACTCATTTGGTTTAATGACCGGTTTTAAGTGCATGAACACAATTGCGATGCATTGGACAAACATTTGTGCATTTGTGTGAAGCATGCATCTAAATGTCCACGTGTGTGAGTAATGAGACGCTGTCTGTCCAGCATCATGGAGACGGGTGCAGTTACAGGTCACTCTCTCCAATTTAGCAAATGTGGGTGTTCCTCGTTCTCCTCCACCTCTAATTAAGCAAATGCAGCCTCTCGGCTCCAGCTCAGCCTATTATCTGTGTTTTTAAGGAAAGTGGATAGTTGGCACCCGCGAGCAAACGTGAGATTGCAAATGTGTGAGGGATTTTGCAAGGGCAAATTTACATAGACCCAATACTTGTGTAAAAGTAGTTCTTATGACGTGTGCATTATATATTCCAAGTCCTCTGAAGTCATATGATCCAGTTCAGATATCCTGAAGAATGACATTTGAGAGAACTATTCCTGTAATGACCAAAAAGCTGCATATTATCATCAGTAGTCACATTAAATGGGAATTGAGAGAGAAAATGGATGCATTCGATCTTAAAGTGACAGCAGCCTAATATTCCTGCGGCCGTCTGTCATTAATCCTAATCAAACGACACAAAATACAAAGAGAAAATCACTTTTGTAGCTTTAACAAAGATTAATTATATTTCATTTATACAGTGAAGACTATGCAGTGTTATTACATTTGATTATTCAATTTCTGTGTCTGAATACTGTTGGACTTGCCTTAAAAACATAAAGCACTGCTTATTTCATTCATATTTTTGTTCTGTTGTATTTATCCATGCTTGTAATTTGTTTATGCAGATTCACTCCCCTACAAAATCACCTCGATCAGTCTAGAATGATTAATGCTTTACAGAGTCATCTGGTGAAACTGTTTTCACATTGTAATATCGCAGAAAAACGAAATATCGCAATGTCATTTTTTTCCAATGTCGTGCAGAATATTATCTGTCAGGTTTGTGAATGCATAAAGACCTTATTGAAAACAGGCAGATGCTCATGCTTATGATTCAGCATCTGATTTCTTATATAATCTCTCCACTGAATCATATGCAAATAGGACACTGAAGGTCTCCTGCACGCTACACTACAGCTGCACAAAATATAGTCAATAATATCTCTCTATATACTGTATATTAATCCAAAATATGCCATCGTTTCCGGTAGAATCTAGTTTCACACAGCTGTTATTTGCTCAAATTATATTGAATAATTTCCATGTGTACATGCACCAGTACAATAATAAAGAGTCATAAACGGCAATATGGATTTTTTTGATAAAACATTTTTGAATACATGAAAGTTGGCATGCAGAAAACATCTTCACTCATAATATGTCGTTTCCCAGAAGTGACATCACAAAGGGAGGAGTTTAACGAACGGGAAACAGTGTTTATGTAATTGACGTGTGGGACACATCCCTGTAATCCTGGAGAGAAAACTCTCCTTCTGCTGTTTCATTTTCATAAGCTCACAGCGACTGTCAGGTTTACTCGTGTCATATATGAGTCTGTTTCCTTCAGAAGAGAGAGAGAGAGAGAGAGAGAGACCTTGACGTCTGTGTTTTATCCTGTGTTTAAGAGCATTTGTGTTCTTCCGGCCGGCAGCTTCTTCTTCTGTCCTCTGTGAAATATAGTGTTTGAATGATAAGGGTTTTTACTGGCAGATTCTGAGTGATAGTGAATATTGTTATGGTACACGTGTTGACATGATCAGATCATGTGTGTTTAAGCAGAAGATGCCACACTATAGCTGAATGCCTGACCAGATCTCTGTCTCCTTCCACTCTTTCTCAGAACTTCATCCATTTCTTTGTATCCGCTTGTTTCTTTTTTTTCCGTTCTGTTGACTTTCACCGAAACTCAGTACACTGGAAAAAAGGGCGTATTTACTTTAGAAATGCCTAGTAAACTTCACGAATAAATAAAAGAAACGGCGAGTAACACATTGAATTAAACAAAAATTACAAAAAATCATTTGTGAGAGTAAGTCCAGTTGCATTCATGCAAAAATCACAACAATGCTGTTGAGAAAAATCTTGAAGCTAATATTTTAATAATTTAACATCAAATTTGTATATTCACTGACGGTTCTCTGATGTTGGTTAATGGTCACACATGACATGCAGATAATTTATTTTATTTTATTTAATTTTAAATTATTCACTTATTTTAATTTGACATTATGATTTATAATTTTTTTCGCTTTTGATCAACTCACGAGCCCCAGTTCGGGAAACTAGTAGTAAAGAAATAAAAGGCATTGGTTTGTAGTTTGTTGGTTTTAGGTCCATGTCTGTGGCTTTTAGCACATATACACTCACCGGCCACTTTATTAGGTACACCTGTCCAACTGCTCGTTAACACTTAATTTCTAAGCAGCCAATCACATGGCGGCAACTCAGTGCATTTAGGCATGTAGACATGGTCAAGACAATCTCCTGCAGTTCAAACCGAGCATCAGTATGGGGAAGAAAGTTGATTTGAGTGACTTTGAACGTGGCATGATTGTTGGTGCCAGAAGGGCTGGTCTGAGTATTTCAGAAACTGCTAATCTACTGGGATTTTCACGCACAACCATCTCTAGGGTTTACAGAGAATGGTCCGAAAAAGAAAAAACATCCAGTGAGCGGCAGTTCTGTGGGCGGAAATGCCTTGTTGATGCCAGAGGTCAGAGGAGAATGGCCAGACTGGTTCGAGCTGATAGAAGGGCAACAGTGACTGAAATAACCACTCGTTACAACCGAGGTATGCAGCAAAGCATTTGTGAAGCCACAACACGCACAACCTTGAGGCGGATGGGCTACAACAGCAGAAGACTCCACCGGGTACCACTCATCTCCACTACAAATAGTAAAAAGAGGCTACAATTTGCAAGAGCTCACCAAAATTGAACAG